GCTAATCGAGCTCTTGCGTGAGGGTGAACTCTCTAATGCCACAGATTTACGGAATAGAAAAATGCTAATACAGTATGTTTCTCGTAAAGTTTTTGCAAGTATTCCAGAGGCAGTATTAACTGAGAAGACACGGAGATCCACCTGTCAAATTGTTGACGAATGGAAGGCTTGTAACAGAATGGTAGACAGATTCGCGGCAAGAAACCCAGCATGACTGGACGACGAAATGTTGTGTGTCAAGGAAGAAGCGCAGAAAACGACGAAAGGTAGACAGTAAAAGAATTATCTTCGTGTTTGAAGAGAGCAAAAAGGTGAAAAGTTCAACGAGATTTTACAGTCCCATTAAATTCGAATTTGTGAAGGTGACAACACATTGCACAATGCAGAAGTAGCTCGTTTAGAAGAAAACATTAAGAAGCTTCAAGCAACAAAATTGAATATTGGGGGTGCAGATATCTCTGTATATCACAAATTATTGAAATATATAAGTGTGTAATTTTCTTATGTTAAAGCATCCTCTCACATGTTCTTTATTTATGATACATCTCCAAAGCATATGAATAATCCTAAACAAATTGTTAAAAACACCTTGCCGCAAGGAAGCTTTTTATGTTGGTCTTTCACGCTCAAATTCGCTTCTTCGAGTCCCTTCTCACATGTCTTACAGACTACATTTTATGAAATGGCGGGATCATGGATTTGAAAAAAAAAATACTGTAAGATCCCAGGAAAACGCAAATAATTGTCAAATTTCGAGAGAAAATGGGACTCCTTATGGGCATCCTAAAACAAGGAAGTGGTACATTGAACAATGGGTATACTTTTCGGCAATTGTTTCAAAATCTGGCGCAGTATACTAACATCACTGGGATAGATGAAAGTCCCGTTCGCCGCTTCTCTGTTGTTTTACAAGCAGTGAGGAGCGGTTACGATGTGACTACGGAAGCTTTCAGAAAAAGCTCACTTGAAACAGCAAACGTTTACGTCAGTTTATACGGATGGGTATTACACCCCTGTAACCGAGCACAAAATATTAATTCATGGCGTTGATGTCATTAAATGAAATTATTGTCCCAATAGGACAACTGTCCGAAGACACGCAGGAAGCCCGACCCCAAGTCTTCAAGTCATGTCGAGAATGATATACTCGAAAATCATCTAGAGTACGTGGCAATAAAGATCTGCCTCATTTCCTATTGATTTCTTCTGACTCTGTAATAAGCATCCGGCGACTATTAACTAAGGAAACTGAACAGCTACCGACGGAAGTTTTGAAGTTGTGTATTTTCCTGGAGGTGATGTGTCACTTGAAGGTAGAATAGCAGATTCAGAGAGCGATTAATGTCTACTATCGCAACTTTTATTTGTTATTACTTTTTATAATTTTTTATTTGCACTGTTATGTATGAATTAGAATCAAAATATTTCATTTTGAGTTAGTGTCTCGTGAACCTTTAGTAGGAATAGGCAATTGCATACAGTACCTCTTAAGTAGTTAGAACATGGATAACATGGCAATCCTTATCCAGACTAGAGGGCAATGAATTTATTATTATATTTCGTCCCTACATTACAATATAATGGAAAATGGTACAAGGAATAATTCTGACCATTTTCAACAGCGTCGGCTTTACCGTTCTCGTGATAATATTTTAATACCGCTAGATGAAGGAAATCAACCACTGTCCGCCAGTTGGACGCTCTTTGGGTTCAAAATGATTTCATAAACATCGTTATTGTTGCTATATCTTAAATATTGAATGCCATTAAAAGGAAAATATATATTCCTAAGTTCTTTTTCGATGATCTGGGGGTTTGGACAACCGTGCAACCTAAGCACGAGTCCCATAGCTTTTCTTTAATGATTTTTCGCCGAATTTGTTGGCTCCTAATTTAATACAAATCCCCGATTTTAATGTCCTCGCTATGATTTTTTAAGAAAAATGACAATGTTAATAAATGGTCAGTTTCGAGGATGCGGGAGAGGGGATGAACTTAAATGTCACGCACTTTGCTATTCGCTGGGCTCTATTCCAAGGCCACCTCAATTATTTCAAGTGATTGTTGTCGAGTACGTTTGTGTACGAGTCGTTAAGTTATCTGGTTTTGCACATGGCAATAGAGCAAAGCGTAAAGCATTTTCACTCGAAGAGAGAATTTATTAATTACAAAAAGTTTGTATTCACATCAGGAAGAGTGTAGACCTCGTAACTAAAATGAGTTTAGGTTCACGCTAAATACAAGTATAAAACAGCACGAGATTCAGAAGTGATACGTTAGCGACAGCCCGTCATTTTAGCGCGGAAATCGATGAAATGGTCACCGCTGGAAGAATGGGAATCTACCATCGCGAATTGGTTGAAATAAGCGAGAACATCAATGGATCACATCCGTCAGAAAAGGCGTTGCATATTGCTGCGTGTCTTGAGGTTTAATACTTCAGGCCGTCGAATATGATGGCTGGATCGCTTCAAGGAGCGTCCTAATTTAATTTACAAAATTGTTCCGGGAGAAAGTGCAAGTGTGAAACCAGCATAATAATCAACAGACCAAGGGCCCAGAAAAAATAGTTTTGATGCATACGAGACTAAACTGTACTTCATTCTCCGGCCCAACAAAACCTTGAGTTTCACAGGAGACACGCCACGGTGGAATTAAATTCAAAAGCTGACTGTACTTCCAGCATGTGATACTGATGGACGCGAAAAATTGCTTCCATTAGTGATCGGAAAATTTCAGAACATCCAATGTTTTAAAAACATTAAGACACTTCTAAAATATAAAGCAAACCAACTGGCCGGAATGTCTGGAAGAATTTTTGAATACTTTCTCTCACTTATTAAGCAAAAGGGCGGTAAAAGTTGAAAAATTCTCGTTCCTTGACCAGTATGCTGCTCAGTTGAAAGAAACGGGTTGAGAAATGTGAAGCCTCAAAACTGCAGTAACAGTGAATTACAGCCATTGGATACTGGCATCATCCATTGACATCAAGTGCTATTATAAAAAGCGCCTAGTAAGAGAAATTGAAAGATGCTTGATGATGCTTCAAGTTTGATGTTGATCAACTTTCAAGTATTGCATTTTGTTGCCAAAGCTTGGAAGCAAGAATCCATTACAATAATACAAAATAGTTTAAAAAATGCAGCTTTCCAGATCCTAATGAATTGAAAAACATTATTAATTTCATTTTAACACAAAATGATATGGAAGACTGGTAATCTTTAAAAGTAAGTGACTAACTTCCAAGATTGTGAGACAGGACAAAGATATTACCACTGACAAAGTACAGAAAGATTAAGAAAAGAAGGAATAGTTTACTTCCAAAAAGAAGGAAAAGTTTGAAAATTTGAAAAGGAAGACAAGATTCAGAGGAGACAACCTTCATCGAAGTTCTTACAGGAATTTATGCTACCCAAAAATATCTTCAACAATTCAATGGGGGAGGAAAGCGCGATGGTTTCACGCAATTGCTTGGAAAACAAACTACAATCTAAAGCCGCATGAAACAAAAAGTGAATATCAATTCTGGACTAGGTGAAAGTATGGTTCCCTACCACAATTACAATCATAAAGAACATATACTTCCAAGAGGAGGCTTAATGCATTGTTTGGTGTTTGTACACAACTATTTGTTTCTTTCTTTTTCCTTATCCCCTGGAGTTAATATGTTCTATAACATATGTCACCACAACCTTTTTGAATTAAATTGTTATAAATGAATTAAATAACTTTTTTGAACAAAATCTGTGCAAAAAAAGTAATTTCCTCAATTTAACATTTTTTCAACCAGTCCCTGGAATGATGTAAAATTCAAAAAGTAAGTCCTCATGTTTGTAAAGGAGAACCTAATTAACAATTAGAAATCTTACAAATTTATCGTAAGTACATAATCATACAACCCAAGACAAGCATACAATCTTCACCAACTACTGTGCACAAGAACATCGTACCAAAAAATAACATTCTCTTTAGAAAAACAATTGTTCAACCATCTGTTGAAACAACCACGAGACATTAGTAGTACTTGTTATAGAAGTAAAGAACCTGGCCAAAACTCTCCTCCTCCTGGGACTGTTTGGGTATGACCACTATCAATTCGGCAGTACCAACATTAATTTTATTATCAAGTACTATATAATTAATCTTGCTATTAAGTAATAATCAATCTGAACTCGTCATATGCAATTGTAATTGTAAATGAAACTCAATAAATATTATTATTATAAAAACTGTTTGTACACAACAAGAACAAGTGTCTTATTAAAACATTTTGGTAAAAAACGAGCCTCTAAAACGTTTTACTGAGAACAACTGTGTACCGCACCTAAATTGTATTTTTTCCTTTATATATAATTTAATTATTTTACTTCACCTATATAATATTATGATTCGGCCAGTATAAAGAGGGAGGAGGTTCAGGGAGTGAATGTACACTATGGGTTCATTTTTATTAGTAAATTGTACAAAGGTGAGGGGAGTGAAATAATGGAACTTTTTGTGTTCATATTTGTTGAATGAGACATTGTCTAATGAGGCAATATCATATAAAACATAACACATGAATGAACAAGCTAATCAATGCAGAGAAAAAGTTTAAAGATAAATACAGGGAAAAGTTGTATCTATTTCCTGGAAATTTACAATTATCAAATTTCAAAACTCAACCCAAACAAATATTTTATTTGACACAAGGTAACTTTTCTTCTAATGTCCAATCTGACAACAAAATATTTCTAGAAATTTTATGATTGTGCAGATAAAGATTAAAACTACAAAGATCACATTTCATTAAATAAATTTTCTATGATTAATGACATTTTACCATTTCATATTTTATTAACAATATGAAGAGGCTATTCTTTATTTTTATTATTAAAATTCACTTTCATTTGAAGATTTTCTTTGCATGTTACATTTTCCACAGAGAAAAAAAAAGGTTCTGCATCAAGTCAGTTACAATCAGTTTATATCATATCAAAATATAGGATATGAAAACTTACCTGAGCTTCCCTAGTAATGGTTGGAGCATCCTCTTCTCCTTCACTCTCATCTGAAGACTCCTGATTGAGGGCTCGAAACCTCAACATTATGCATGGAGTCTATATAGTGAGTCTAAATACTAATCAGTTAGTTTACTTTTTGAAAGTATTCTACAATTAGTTCAGCAAACAATGTCTGCAAAGGAGACAGACATAACTGAAATTGCAATAAAATTAGGTACAAAATAATCAAAGTTCTGTACTAATTATAGTAACTTTAAAGATGTAAACACAAAATTTCAAAGCAATTTAAAATATGGCTATGAACTACCAAATAGCAAACAAACAAAATCCTCCAAAACAAATAATTAAATAATTTTCATTTAACCACAAACTTGCAATTAATATGCAATATCATTTAATTCTACTTTAAAAAATGCCATATGGATAGCACACTAGATGGAATTAAAAATGAAAATGGTAACAAAATTTCTGAATAACTATCATTCCAAAATCCAATTATTTGTCATAGAAATGAAGTTCAGAAATGGGGAACTAAATTACCAGAACACATTAGCAAGTACAAAATGGATGAAAAGAAAATTAAAAAGTACGACTTTTCACTTACCAAACACTTAAAATGTACACTAATTCAATCTATAACCCTACACGAAAATCAACCCTTTTAAAAAAATAAACAATGACAGAACTGTTCTTCCCTGACAGTACAATGGTAACGAAGTTATGATTCTCAAGCTTTTGCAGAACTTTGCACTTTATTTCCCAAATCATGAAAGAAACAAGTAAAAATAATGTAATTAAATTGCATCGGATGTATTCACATCATTCCAAATTTCAATGTTGCCTGTCAGAATATAATCAGTGTTGCCATATCACAAGAAACGAAATATAATCCATTGGACAGTGATCACACTGCAATGGAATTACAGTTGGTACTTGCTGATTCTGTTTTGATATATGGTGGTAAATATTGCTACGCTTGACATATTCAAAAACATTTATGGCGCAAAACAGTTATTTTGACACTGACATCCACAATAACTTAATTTTAGTACGTAGACGAATCATTATTGTAAAATTAAATCATTTGATACGAAAAACTGGCAATATATTCGATGTTTAACTATCGGATACAGAAGTTAGGTTAACAACGCTAACATCTCACCATACACACTATTCACAATTTCCGCTTTATTCGCTTTTCCACTCCACAATTTCCGCTTAAAGACAGCATTATATCAGAATTGACATCACTCTTGACACTTGTTATGTTGCTCAATTGACTAACTACTACATTTGGGCTGCGCGATTCATTTGTTATATACACGAAGACTGTAATATACAGATTCTACTTTAGTGGTGGGGGTATGAATATCTGTAGTTAATCGGCTCAACTGAACTTGAGCATCATGTGGTAAATGGAGGAAACTTTTAAGGCATTTTCGACCAATGCTCACCAAGCTCATGTTCTGCTCATATGTTGAGGCGTGTGTAATGCAATGGGTCATCTATTCACACGTGTTAGCGCGTCGTTATTGGCCCCCATAAAATGAGGAATAAGTTCTTTCATTCACCGCATAATAACGCTGATGTTTAGTTGAGCCGATTAGCTGCCAGTGTTTTTATAACTCAGCACCCCGCCCCCCCTCCACCATTAATAACAAGCTCGCAATCAAGCCACCAACACCAATGAGCTTCAGACACCAGTTTGCGTCACCATTTTGGGGGGAATTTTAAATGCAGCTAGATACCACGACATTGAAAAAAAATTATGAAGCATTTCTTTTAAATAATGCATCTTGTACACGTTCATCGTGTTTCTTTTGGTCGGTCACTTTTGAAAATTGTCACTTTGTATAACTTTCAAAATGTTTCTCAAACTTCTCGCTCTCCATGCAACACGGTGACTAGAGTGGTTGAGTTTTCAAACGAAGTACACGTGCTGTGGTCACGTGGTTCGTGACACAAACTGCTGTTGCGCAGAACGAGCAAAAATCGGCGCGCCGGAGGAGTTCGCCCATATATTTCCACCATGAATAGTATTACTCGCGCAACTTTTCTTGAACGACGAACTTGCTTCCCCCTCTCTGTCACAATAAACAGTAGAAGACAAAAGCTCGCAGCGAGCACGGATGACAACATTTCAAACAAATCTTCCTTGGCGCGAAATATAAACTATGTTCTATTGAAGACTGAAACTTAAAACTTCAGTCTCCAAAAGATCTAAAGAAATGTCCGTAGAGGTGAAGATCCATCACAGGAACCTCGCAACCTCGAACTCCTGAGAAAGTTAGAACGCAAATTATTGAGCAAATTGCGAAGGCATGACTGATTCTCCGTGGTTGGCATTGCTTCGTCAAATCTAGTAGCCGATTTCGTAACTAATACCTCCACTCTACTCGCATTTCTTCAATCCATCGTTCAAGAAAACTTGCACGAGTAATATACAGATCACTGCCATCTCTCACACACATTTTCGAACGCAAGCTATGTACATCTGATCGAATGCTCTTGTCGAGCTTTATGATATCAGGGGACAGGATTTTTAGGTGGTGAGAAAGTTGTTTTTCCAAGACAAAGAAATAGGCTAATCAGCGCGTATATTCTTCTAAGAATAAAACCATTTACAACAGGCACTTGACAAATACAAAACAAACAACCAAATGACAAATAACACTTTCAAATATCTCAAAAGAAATGACATTACCTTTTGCAAAAAAGAAATGGAATTACCTTTTACTTTGAAATAAATTACACACACCTCTTTAAAATTTTAACTAGTTAATTCTTCCTAATTAATTGCCTTCTAGAAAGATCCGTGCACGGTAGTTATTTACTTGGCCAGCACCGTTTTAAAAAATGATATTAATTTACTTCGTTCAATTACCACAATACAGAATGAAATTATTTCATATTATTACTAAATTTCCTTAGCTCAAAAATGCTCGCAACAAAATTTACACAATCACTGATTCTATTACACAACTATTTACAATTTCTTTCCTTGGAGTATTAGACTCAAATGAAATGTATTACACAGTTTATAAGATTCCCTTTTCCTGTCGCCACTGGTAACATGGACCGCGACGAAATCTACTTGATTATGCAAATTTTGTTAGAATTCGTATTTTCTAGGCTGCCCGGGTGACGCCGAGTCCATGGCGAAGGTGCCGACGTTTCGGTCGCCATTCTGCGACCTTCCTCAGGGCGTAATGCGCGGAGATTACTGTGCACGGGTTTAAATGGGGCTAGTTTCTCCTCTACCCGAGTGCCGGTTGGCCGGGTGGTCGGCCAATGCGGAGAGAGTCCACCGGCCAATCAGGGGCGGGCTCCCCGCAGGGTGAGAGGGGGCGCTTCGTCCGTAATCGGACGTTGCGGAACAGCTAGGACCTGGTCCGGTCGAGATCGGACGTCATGGTAAAATAGGTGTTTCCAGGCATCGTGTAGACGTATGCCTTGGTCAGTATTTACGTTATAGGGGTGTTTGATGATTTCCACCGCCTCTTTGTCGGCCTGTCGGCCACATAGCGCCACAATGGACGCGGCGTCACCCGGACAGCCTAGTAAATACTGACTCCGGCCGCGGAAGCCTACGCTCTCACTTGTTAGAATTCATTTTTTCTTCCGCCGCGCTAACGTGCTCGTAGCTCCGCATGCTCTACACTCCCGTCACAAATTTTGTTACCTTTTTCTGGACGGTCTCGGCAGTGGATCGTGCCTCCCTCGGTTCAGCTTCGTCGTGCGCCTGACGTTGCTCCAAATTCCGGCCGCACAGTCGCTTCTCTGCCGACTAGACATCCGCGAAGTCGCTCGAAAACTCCTTTTTTTGTGCTGCTTCCTAAGGAATCCACGTCCACTCTTCTTTCTTCTCTCCCAGCACCAGAATTCCTGTCCAATCTTCTTTCTTCGCGACTCTTGACTCGTAGCACGCCGACGCGTGATACACATTACCCGTAATGACAACGGCGAATTTGGTTGCTCTTCAATACTTTTGGCTTTTGTTGTTAAGTATTCAATTCTGTGAATGCCTCGTGATAATTCGTGTCCTTCGCTCTCGCGGCTGTAATTCTTCCTCGTCCTTACGCTTTCTAATTCACTCAATTCAATAAACTATCAAATAAATAATGTTCAACTTATTAACTTTCGCTGCTTTACAGATCATTTCTGAATAATTCTAGCACTCTCTCTCGACAAAACGTCCACAATCTCCCTACACCGGCCTCATTCTCTGCACACGTCTGAACATCTCGACGTCTCTTTTCAAGAAGGGCGTAGTGGTCAGTTGCTCTGCTTCTCCTGGAGGGGTGGCATGACATAACGACGGACTCCTCCGCGCTTGCCTTGAACCGCAAAGTCCGTCGGTCGAGTTGCGAGAACCCGTCTTGGCGTCGCCGAAGCAGCGTGGGAGTTATGGGGTTCTGAACATGGCTCAAACGCCACTATATATATATATATATATATATATATATATATATATATATATATATATATATATAAGGAGGATGGGGAAGGTTTGCAAGTACCAGTAAGATGGGAGAAGTATTTTTTCAATGTTCGACAAATATAAAGACAAGCATTATTCATTTTTAGGAAAATGAATATTCTTAACAGCAGTCTTAATATAACTATTTATTTTAATCTGTTAAGTTTCAGACTAATTGTGGATATCTCCGTGAATCAATATAAAAAATTCTCGGATTTTGAAAATTGAAAAAATGGTTGAACTTTTTTATCCGATGATTGGATACAGAGTTTTGTCTAAGAGGAATGTCTCAGCTACTTCTATCATGTTCTGTCATTTTAATTAGAACTTTACGACTAGTTTGGCCTAAATACTTGATCGCAATTATTGCATTCAATACAGTATACAGCATTATTTGAAAGGAGAAGTATAGTATTTCACATTTCTGACCGCAGTCTGCTTATTATAGGCTTTCGTCATTAACCTGCACTAGTACTTGTCTTGAAACATCTGTTCTAGTTTGTAATTAATTGTGGAAACGAAAGGTAAATATAAACATTTATACTCAGAAGTATTTTCATCTTTTGACATTGGTTTGAAATCTGACTCAAGAAGCTTCATTCTCTCAAAGATAAATTTATACGCAACAGCATTAGAATAATTGGTGTTTCTTAAAATAGCTTGAACTGTTTGAAAGTTAAAGGAATGGAATTCCTTATCAGTTAATTTACACAATCCACTAGATTATAAATAATTCCAATTTTTGTCTTCATACTATGTGAAGAGTAGTAATTAAGCACTTTGCCTGCAAATGTCAGTACTCTGAACCAAGTTGTTATTTCATTAGGATAAATGAAAATGTGATTTAATGAGAGTAAATAAGAAATTAAAATAAAAAGAGGAACGATATTTTTATGTTACAGATATTTGACAGATATTTTTAAAGTTAAATAATTAAATAATAGTATTAAATTTAGAGGAAAGAAAGAGTTAAATAACTTAAAATGAAAATTAATAGTAAGAGAGGGGAAAAAAGGGGGTTTTAGTGATCCAAAAAAGGGAGAGGAAGAAAGAGAGAGAATATGAAAAAGGATAGAGGATGAGATGAAAGTATTTATTTGAAAAATGGAGTAGAACAGTGGAGGATATGTAGGAATGGAATAAGAAAGGGATTCGTCACAGCGCTGAAACAGCACGGCTTCCGCCCAGTTCTCAGTTTTAGGAGACGAGCAGTGGCAATGTCGTAAAGTAGTATTTTCATGAATCCAGTTTGTGACTTTTTTTAACGACGAAACCAAAGAAAATAGAAAACTAATGCGAGAAAGTCTGTGCCACTTGTAGCACCATTAGTGTACTTACTCATTGTGTTTAAGAGATTTTTTCTTACGTTGTTGGTCTAACTGGAAATTATACGGGCGGTTCCAAACGTTCTTGACCAACGCCACTTACACTTACAAACACTATGGATTTGGCTAAGTACGTGTATGCGTGTCGTTATTAGCCGAAAAAGCTAAGAAGTTTCTTCAATGTGAGCGTGATGTCGCCGACGCTCAGGTGTGCCTACCTTTTTCGTGCGTACCCTTATGAAGCCTCCAATACCGGAGTTGAGTATCTTTCTTACAGTCTTCGTGATAATGTTTTTTCGTTCGGTGGACTCCTTCCTAGAACATGTTGATAACAGCATTTGCCGCACTGCTGGTTTCTCGGCTTATTTCACTGATTCCCTTATCGATCCCCTTATTGATGATATTGAGGAGTTGGTCTTTGTTGTCTTATTTTCTGATTGGCTGCTGACGTCGCCGAGGAACTTAGCGTGACCGCGTCTGATTTTTGCTGTACCGCGTGATATTAACGCTTCTGTTTACCACATGAACGAGACCATGCCGTCAATTCTAACAGGTGCCCTACCTTTCAGGGGGAGAGGAGGAAGATCCAAGAGACGGAGAAAGTGTCCTTTCCTGAGGCAAAACGCAGATACCTTGCGAAGAACCCAGTAGATCTCAC